AATCCCAGGGCTCTGGGTCCGCGCCATCTTTGGAGGCCTCCTGCTACAAACCACTGAGCCATCTCTCTAGCTCCATTTTAAAGAGACTCTTAAACTTAAAGGATAAATAAAATGTAAAGACCTTTACCCTCTTAATCAGAGAAAGACTTGACCATGTAAGTGCCTCATTACTCCCAAACTTACTACTAGCTCCTACAAACAAGTATGATTTTTGCCTTAACCCAATACAACCACTGAATTCACGGGATGACCCTAGCAGTACATTCCAGCTGAATCTCTAGATCTGGTCAGACAACAAGGAACAGTACATACCCTCAGCCCAGCCAATAGTGGACTCCTAGGAAGTATGCGCTGGGCCTTCCAGGACAGGAAACCTGGTCATACTCCGAGTATCCTTTCCAAATGACAGGGTGACCTGCAGCACTGATCTTCTACCAGAAGTGGTTTCTCACTCTTTCCTTGATCGTCATGACCTTAACACCACTGAAGGGTCATTAAATCTTAAAAGCCCTCTGAGTTTGTATTTGTCTAATGTGCATATGAGGATGGCATCCTTGTAAAAGAGCGATGCTGGGACAGGAACCTGTCCGGGCTTCTCTGGCCTGCACACAGGAACCTTAGTGAGTACTCATCTCCATATATGCTGGAGGTCAGGCCTGGGCTCTGCTCTCTTGTGGGCCTCCGAGGACTTTGTCTTTTACCTGAGTGCTGAACAGCCTGATGAAAAGATGCTCTTTGGTGAGTGCCATGCCACTGTCTTAGTCCCTCTAGGCTTCTGAAATAGAAACAATACTACCCCTTTGAGAGCTAGGGACTAGGGCTGACCTTGAAGAAAATACGTATATTCACAGATTTGTTATCCATGGGCAAGGTCAAAGGTACAGGATGGGCGGACAAGGAGGAGAAGGCCCATCAGCCTCAGAACGCATTCCTGGGTATTTGAACCTAAGAGCAGCTTTGTTTCCCTAATGGCTTCTTCTTTCTTTTCAACAAGGTTCCCCCTATCCCCACACCGGGAGGAAAACTCCTCCTGTTTTCCAGTGATGAAATAGCTTCATTGATGCTCGACTCTGATTCTGATGTAATGCTATACCAGTTATGAATGAATGATTGGGAAAAAGCCATTATTTACATACATTTACTATTCAGGTTGTTCAAAAAGGATGAAATATTCTAATGTCAGATGGTGACTCTACTGTGTTCTGTTACATTTCAATGGATTGCTGGGAGGGATCATTCTCAATGTGACACAAGAATTAGACCTTTGGCAGAGACTCTCTGAGACCCCTGGACTCCACATCTCAGTGGGTACAGACTCACTATGTACAAATTTAACTCTACACTTACAAAATGCAGAGTAGACATCCTTTTCTAAGGCCCAGAGAATATTGGTCACATTCCAAACAATTCCTACAAAAATAAATCTCAATAAATTTCAAAGAAGAGTAGAAGAGAATAGATTTTCTTTGACTATGGTGGACTTGAGCTAGAAATTGATAAGGGAAAAGGTGATTTAAAATCAATCATGATTAGAAATGAAATCATTCAGTAATTATAGTATAGAGGTCAAAAAAGATGTCAGAGAAAATGTAAGAGAAGGGAACTGATAATAAGTACAGGAAACTAGGAGGATGGAGCCAGGTATACCTGCTGGCAGAGGAGGCTCAGGGCAGAGGAGAAGGCAGAACCTTATGGACATCCCCAGATTGTTGGCCCTAAGCTCAGCTGGTGGTATGGGCTCCAGGCAAGGTCATGGGCAGGTCATGGCCAATGATTCACTCCCCAACAATGAATTCACTGGAGTCCTCAGGAGTTCCTGTGACCCTGGGAATCTTTGCCAGCATTGTGTGAGCACAAATGAGCCAGGCTCGGTGCCTCCGAGAGAGGCTGCGGTACAGGTGGGAGCTGCCTTGGCAGAGCTGGGGGAGCAGCCCTGGCGATGTACATCTAGCAGGCATGTGCATGGATGCCTATCAGTCCATCGTTTATGTCACCACGAAGTGGAAAAATGTGACCTTCTGCTCTGCTGTCTGGGGATGGTGGACAGGGACAAGGCAGGGGAGCAGAAATAAGCGGTTGTACAGAAGCACTGGTCAAAAGGAGGCAGTCAGCAGCACAGGGCTCTGGTGGGCAGGGCCTGGTAGGATTCTCAGCTGGGAAAGACAGTACCAGCTGCAGCTGCACTGGCCCTTCACTCTTGTGTCTCCGGCTCCCAGGGCTGATGCTAAGGACAGCCATGTTCTGGAAGGTGCCTCTGCTTGTGGGACTCATTGTACTGGGCACCCATATATGGACCATTGACAAAGAATTTGTAGACATTGTTAAGGACCTACATTATTTTGTGGCATCAGTGGAGTTTGCTGTGGCTCAGTTTAATGATGACAACCCAGAAGAGAACGCATACAGACTGCTGGAAGTTGGACGAGTGCAGAAAAAGGTGAGTCCGTGCCCAGAGTACTGTCTCTAGATGAAGGCCCTGAGCCAAGTGGGATATCAGGAGGGACTGATGCAGAGGGTCCTGTAGTACACTCTGAGTTTGAGGACTTTCCTCCTCCACCCAAGGACACAGGTCTTTCTCATTCCCTTTATGATTCCCTGTCATGGGCTGATGCTAGCCCTGGGCCCTGGGTACCAGCCACTCCACCACCTCTTGCTGCTGTACAGCCATGGAGATACAGGCCTGGTTCATCATATGAGGACTGACCAAGAAGGGGTGGGACAGATGTGAAGGAGTGAGTGTGTTGTGGGGATTGCTGGTGTGTGATTTTGAGGTGAAAGCATGTCATTGAATGTTTGGTATCTTTTGGGCATTGGTGGGTGTAGGCACATTTCTGTTGACCCATTGCGATCACATTTGCTGTGTGGCTGCTTATTCATAAGCACATGCATATTCCAGTCATTTGCTTGTTTTTCTATCTGATTTTCTTCTTGTTTTCATATTCACAAAACAAGTATTTAGCATCTATTTGCATCATTTCTTCTCTACAGACATGGACAATAATATTTTTAATGGATTTGGCTATGGGCCACACAATTTGTAAGAAACATGATGAAAACATTGACAATTGCCTATTGCAACAAGGCCCAGGAGAAAGAAAGTTTAGAGAATAGAATCATCCACACTTAGCACAAATCTTCGGGAATGAAAAATGACAAGCAAGGCCTGGAACACGGCATAGATAAGATGTGGGGTGATCTTGGCAGACTGAGGACACACCTCACTGGAAGCAGAAGGGGTCATTTTAAACAGACAGAGCCTGGCTCCTAGTACTGGGGCTGCTCTCTGCTCACAACCTAGCTGGTTGATCACACACAACCTGCAGATGCCCATATGGCTTCCATCTGTGACGGTGCCATCCCTGTGGTCCTGGCCCTGGGCTTTCAGAAGCCACTGAGACTTGGGTGATGACTTTCTCCCTGTGGCTATCAGCCCTCCATTGCCATGTCTCTGGGGGCAAAGGGTTATTTAGTTTATCTGCTTGCCCAGGAGATTCTGAGTCTGACATCATTGGCTTATATCTGACATGAGATCCATGGGATCTGAGACCTTGAAGATGGCTGTCCATCAGGCAGACTCTGTCAGTGAGTGGTCTCACCCTCTAACCAATAGCCTTGGGGCAGTCTTACCTGGGTTTGTGCCACTCTTCAGTTGGAGGGTGCCTGACAGGATCATCTCTCAAGTAGTGCCCTGGCTCCTTCAGGGCCCTTGGGAAGGGGAAGTTTATTCACCATCATATAGACTAGGGAGGTTGTAAGGCCAGGATACCTCAGGTGGGTGATGACCCCAGGCAGGTGCTTTCTCAGGAGCCCTGGATTCAGGTGGGTGGATTTTGTAGCTTGGTGGAGGCTTGCGCTTTATGAGCCCTGTTCCTAGCAAATGGTTGTCTTGAGCTTTGTTTTAATTATTTTTTTAGATTGACTTTTATTGTGTCTTGAGACCCCACTGCACACTGGTGATCACAATGCCTTATCCTTTTCTAACTTATGTATCTTAATTATTATTTTTTCAGGTGCGCTGTATTTTCCAAGTGGATGCTCGGCCTTGGTTTTCCCAGTTCACCATGCTGAATAGC